CTCCATATTAGATTAGATTCAAAATATTGCTCAATAATGCAAGGAGAGGAATCACTTTCAAATATTTTAATATATGCATAGATCTAAAAAAACCTCGACTGACAAATAATAATGCACTGACCGCAGCGAAGCTTTTGCTCTGCCTATCACTTTTTTCGCTGGCTGTTCAAGTACTTTTGCTTTTGCTTGAGTTTCTTCCGTTATTTTTTCAATTAATTCCTCTGCACATCTCAAAACGTCTGTACTGGGAGGAATTGGAATTGGCATCTCTAAACTTTTTGCATTCAGTTCTCCATCCGAATTAAGGTAAAATGTAGATTGAGTCTGAAATTTCACACATATTTCAAAATTATTCGCAGCCCCAATTTCAAACAAATATAAAAAACTCATATGGGCTCCGCCACACACCATAAAAATTCTGAAAATGCAAACTATCAAAAAAAGTATCCTTATGTCACCGTGACAAAACTATTATGAAAGGCAAATTTTCAACTCACTGCGTCATTAATTTCATCTTCAAGTGATTTTTCATCTGGAGGTCCATCTATTACCATCACATCCTTACCCTGTTCTAAATCCTTTATTTCAGTATTCGAGGAACTCTCCGTATAGTGATCATTTCCCGAAAGAGAGTGGGAAGAAAGAGACACGATTTCCTAAAACCATTTAGCATCACTACTTAAGTAGTTGACCATATTTGTCAAATTTTGGATTGAAATAAATTCGAAGAAAAAAATATTACTGAGCACCCACCTAGCGCACTTGCGGTGTCCATGGAGAAAAGGACAGAGCTGGTAGCCTCATCTCATTTTTTTTGAACTATGATGTATATTTATGACACTGGAATTTTATTATTGGATTGTTATTTGAAGTTCTAAGAGAAATGATAAATTATATAAATCGAATTAGCAGTGGATAAATTTTCAGAAAAATAAACATTGCTTCACCACAATCAAGACTTAAAAATAAAAATAGAAGCCTTACAATTTTCAATACATCATCAATATTTTCCTTCTCATAATGTCGACGACGATTGCTCTGAAGCTGCTGCAGCCACTGAACACGTGACTTGTTATCCGCTGTCTCGAGAACATGTATCTCATTATTCACACTAAAAGACGAAACATTAGTGAGAAGTGAGATATAAATGGGAAAAACTGAACGCTTGGATAATTTAAACGTGGATTCAAACTAATTTTTCAGTCAAAAGCTGCAGTCATCAAATGACATTCAAATATTATACTTGAAAACGTAGTGAATCTCTTCAAATAGTAGCGCCTTTCAACAATAATTTCTGTCTGAAATGAAACTAACCACAATTAACTGGACAAAATCACATTCAAGTAAGAAAAAAAAGCAAAACAAAACAAACTGTATTTCAAATCGGCCAGTTTCACGAGGATCAAAAGTGAAAGCAGCTCCGGAGAGTGGTAATCGTCCAGTACAACTAATATCACCCTTATTTTTGTACCAGTACAAATATGGTGAATCGTCCGATAACACAAACCAATAACGACGCTTACACGGACCACCAATTGTGCGCTGTTCGATCTGTAATTCACTCACTTACTCGAACGCTCGTTTGCCCGTATATGTATTATGACAGTTTATTTTCTTGTTCAAAAGTTTTGCAACCTTGGCAAAGTCGAAAAATAATAACTGCAATGAGAAGTTCCTCTTTGTATAAATCTATGGAATTTGGGTATTTTGATCAGCAAGAAAAGTATACGACGGAACGAAGACTTCTAACTGACCTCTTATAACTAGAAGGATTTCGAAAAAAGAATGATTCTTGGAGTGAAACATCAGTAGAATTCCATAAGATACGGAAATAAACTCTGACTTTACAAGAGTACTCCTCATAATCATTTTGCTTAATTAAAACAGGATAAAATGTAGTACCCTGTTGATATAGCCGGACAACCGTTTCGGTATGCGGCTTTTACTTGGTCGGTCGCCATCTATTTGCATCATTTTACTTTAGCCTGAAGTACGAACCATGCAGGAAAGAACGCAGAAAGTGGAATTATTAGTCCCGAGAAGGGATCAGGCAGAGATAGACAGGATGCATCATTAGGATTATTTATGAGGTTAGGACAAATAATAGAGGAATCACCATATTTCCCAGGATGAATGAGCACCACTTAAGATCAAACAACATTCCATTCAATAACAGTGCCCTGGTCTTTCCATCAATTATAGCCTCTAACTGTTCTGCAAGTCGGTGGTACACATGGTTGTTCTGCAAGCTGGTTGTAGGTACGACTTATTTGAATTGCAGAGAAATTGTTTATTGTCAGACTATTTGTTCTACAAATAACTGTCAATGGCCTTTAATCTCCGATTTTTAAAGAGGTGTCCATTTCCTTGATTTATTCCCGAGTCAAGCGATATTGATTCAAATCGAATTTTTTAACGATTTATTAGTTTACTTCAATGATTCATAGCGTAGAACTTTAGAAAGCAAATCGATAATCAAAACGACAAGTTTCTGAATAACAGAATAAAATTTTTGGTTTCTGATATGATCGCTCCTATTCTTCTTGGCATATTGGTATTACTTTAATCTTTTCCTGATAATTTCGTTTCTTTTTATTAAGTGCTTCACTTTCTTGTCGATGAATTTGGACAGTAGTCAGTTTCAAACTTACTCTCGAATTGAAGTGATGTACACTTTGAACTTTGATTGCTTGTCCGATGTAAATGGTAAGGATGAAACTCTATTATTTACTCTGAAGTAGTTGAAGAATGGAGTCAGCAACGCCAGATTGACTCAGTGATTAACCAAATATTAATTTCAAAGCAGTGTTAAGAAATCAATGTGCAAACAACATCAAGATGGCTATGAGACCAAAACCCACAGCTGCACTCAACCATTGCGCCATTTTTCGCTCCCCATGTTCGTGTTCAGTATATAGTATCTAAAAATAAGCTCTTTGCAGTTCCACGTTTACTTATAGTTGAAATGTTTTAACATTAAAATTTCAATATATTAAAATTTTTAAGAAAAGGAAAGAGAGGATGGCGAAAGCACGAAATATTCGTCACTTGACAACCCTTCTAAAACAATAGCTTGAATATGCGAGGAGATAGGGAATGCTGAAGTGGTACCAGTCATAGTAACGCTTTCATTTCCTACTTTTAGGATTTCAATCTTGAAGATAGTAACCCAAACAAACCTCAAAAAAGGTGATGTAAATGAAGGTACCATTAGCGAGCGATGATGCTATTGCTGTTACAATATTTCGTGGTTGTTCACCAAGTTCCACACTCTGCAATTCAAGGTGTGTTTCCAGTTTTATAAATGTTCTGGCTATTTGGTTATAAAACACCTCAGCATTACCGATAGAAGACAGGAAATAATTCTTGAATATACCATTTGAATTGAAGATACTCAAGTTCCTGCCGAATAAGATGCAGCTACTTTTAAGTATAGTTTCTTGGTTTTAGTTTTAGGCATAACTTTTAAGATCAGTTCATGCTTCAGAATACTCTTTTACCAAATTGTTAGATGCGTTATAAAATAACCTCCAGAGCGATTCCAATGAAACCACCAATGGGCGACGTTACTGCCATAAATATTACCAACAATATAACAAAGTATGTTTTGCTGGGATGAGTCTTAATTAGATTCATCCCGATGCTAAATGCAACCACTGATTTATGCACTATTATTCCAAGGAAAAGTGTTGCCACAGTGAACATAGTGTACTGCAACTAGGCATGTTATAATTTTTATATAAATTTCCTTTTTCCAATCAGGTTGAAAGAGCTGTGGCAGAGTATTTAAAAATTTGAATTTTTCCGAACACAAAAGATAAATATGTTGTAGGTTTTTATTCAAAAGAAAATAGATTCTTTAAGAATTAAAAGAACTACCTGAACGCCGAAAGTGAATCCTTCAAGACAGGAATGAACTGTAAGGGCAACCACCAAAGTTATCGATTTTACATAATTATCTTTTTTGGAAATTTTCAGTTCCACTACTGAAACATCTATTTGTTTCTTCCTCCCTTGACTTGCATTCTCTTCTTGCTTACCTCTGTTGAAGCGTTCTCTATAAATAAATATAAGAAGGTAAAGCTTATTAATGTAGACGCATTAGTTTTATTCAGATTTAAATTTTCGAATTGTTTTTGAAACTTGCAAAATTTCATATATCAAAAGTCCGAAAGGTCTTTGGAAAAGTCGCTACAATTTAAACAGAAAAAAATCATTCCATAATTTTCAACGATTTATCCAGTCGATTTCCATTTTCACATCAGTGAATAGTGTTTTAAAATTGAATTGATATGAAGCAAAGTGAAGGAGACATTTCCAAATGTTAAAATATGTATCATCCAAGTTTTACTCGATCACATCCTTCTTATTTTTGCAGTGCTTGCATTCGTTTCGCTTCACCTCATAGTCTATATGATTCCGATCACAGATATGAATGGCTAATATCTCCATCAAATAAACGATAAAGAAACCACAGCCAATTAGAACTCCTATTAATGGATATTCCGTTTCCCATCCGTTCTGTTGTTTTATTTTGTCGAATGCTTCGCTGAAAATTACGTTGTATTTTGAAGCACTTCGCTGATATCTGCTAAAATACCTGAACTAACCCGATAATGCGTCATTAGTTGTAATATAGTTTTGCGCTGAAAGCAAATGAGGCTCACGATATCAGCCATTTCACAGTGAAACTTGAAATAGAAACATGGAGTCTTTTGAAACTAATAATAAAATAGATTCAAATAAATAGAGATTCGTCGTAAAAAAAATTTGTGAAAAGCGATGAAGAACTACCAGTACAATTTATGTATTTTATACTAACAAAAGCAAATGAATGTTTACCTGGCTGTAGGTAATAGATCTAATAAGCAAACACCTAAGAATACACCACCGGAAAGACACGACAATATTGAAAGAAGTCGAGTTGCTAACTTCTCTTCAGAAAACTTAGTTACCCGCTGCAACTCGACATACTTGTATATCTAAAAATAATTTCAAAATAAGTGAGTCAGGCACCACATGTTTAAACGCATTTTCAAAATTTACAAATCACTAATGACCTTTAAATTAGCAAAGCTCATTTGTTGAATGTTTTGTAAACTTGATAAATAACAAACCTTTATTGGCAGTAGACCGAACAGCAATGCAAAAGCGCCCATCGTTGCGAGCATCACAATCTTCACCACCAAAATTGACATTTCACCATTAGCTATGACAAACACTATTTTGAATGCAAATATGATTACGTTCATATGCTGATAATTTACAATCTGATAAAGACTGCAATCAGTAATACTTTCTTATTCCCAACATATTTCTAGCAAATAGAACTCCGAAAACAATTCAGCACCTCTTCCCTCTCATTTCTTCTTCCCAACTTGCTGATTGTTAAAATTTTAATCATATTTCCGTACTTCATGACTGAATGAGCAAGTTATGAAATCAATCTGTTAACAGTATTCTTATGGTAAGCGAAATTATTAATGTTTTCGAGGAGAGGCAGAAACAAAAACTTTTTTAATTCTCGCCAAATTGTTATTAAATTGTTGTTTGGGCAATTTGACTCTCATGTGAATGGGAAAAAACAATTTTAGCTATTTCCAAAGACATATTATTGCTCATTTTCCAATTCGAAGTCCACAAATGGTGCATTTCTCATTGGCTTTTTAAATTGAAAACGAAATGAAAAATAGAAACAATCAAACAAATACAAAAGCTATGACGATTAGCTTACAAACTGTCGCTGTGTATTTGTGTACTTGTCGACCATACGGTAATGAGCTTGTGTATATTTGACTACTTTTTTCTTTTTCTTTTTAAAATTTAAACAGATTCTTTCTAGAAAAAAATCATATGATAAGTTAAGGAAATGACTGATTCTACTTTTGATAACATCGAGTACGTCATACTGATATCTGAATAAACGCCGCCATCTTCCGGACAAATATTGTTAAAGTAACCATGGAGTCAAATTTAGGATAACACCAGCTGGAACAAACGCTCATAGAATTATTGTGCCTCACATTGTTATTTGCTATTAATTTTAGAACTTTAGGTGGGAATTTTGAATTTAAGAAAAGTTTTACCAGATTACTATTAATTAAGACATCATAGCAAAGCATGTATACCATCAAATACAATTAATTATTCTTATAACAAATTAGAGTATTTGTATGATATGCTAGTACTCAAAGTGACAGTAATATACTATACTGGGAAAACCTCACCAGTTTAATCTCAGTAATGCATCATGAATTTAATTATAGAAATTAGCCTGATAAAATAAAGTATTATACACATGCTTATAATTGTTATGCATATGCTCATAATGTAATAACTTGTTTAACGAAATGAAATTAATTGGAGTTTGATGTAGAAATTCAAAGCGAATCATTTTGTATACAATTTTGCTAAGTATCAGTTAGTAGAAATTGCAAGAAGTTGTTGTAGTGCTAAGTTTCACATTCCAAGTTGTGGATTTATTATCTAATATGTCCTTAACCAATATTCCAGTAATAGAAAGACTTTCATTAAAGAACAATGAAATTATGGAATGTTAAATTTGAATTCAAACACCCTCTATGATATTTAAATAATATACAGGAAAAATGTCTCCGGTTATTGATAACGAAATTACAAAATCTTTCAATATGTGATGAAGACTAGTTGTTCTTATCATTTCAACAGATAAGCATCTGAAACATAGATATCACATTGTTGTTCTATTGTGGTTGTAGCCGCAATAACTCCCATCATTTGGCGATAATCATTAGATGATATCTGGTAATATATCAGAAAATATGCATAATTGCTGATAAGAAAAGCATGTTACTTTTTGTCAATCATCCTGTAAAGACGAATAACTCTTCCCTTCTCCATTCACTTCTTCATCTCCCAGAGAACGGTAAAATCATGGAAGCATTATGCAAATTAGTAGGCGAAATCTTCAAGCTTATTTATAATATACCACAATAATCTTGCTAAATAATCAACAGTGTCAACAGATGTAGTGATGCTCTCAGTTTTGTTTTCTAAAAAAGAGATCTTTTAATTAATAAATTACTGATAATTCTGAGTAAACAACAACAAAGCTATCAAAGTCGCTCAGGGATATTAACAAGCTACTGCTTTCTATTATAACAGGATACGTATCGGTTTGTTTCGTTATAATTAAAGTCGCTTGGCTAAGCCGTATCTTCTCTTACATTCCTAAAAGCCTAAGGAATTGCTTAGTTTACTGAGCTAAATCTTTTTAATTTTTTTGAACTGAATTTTGTTATTTTTATGCAATGTAACAATGCTTATATATATATATATATTTGTGAGACAATAAAATTATAGGCTTAAATTAGGCTGGACAATTGATTGTTAATCTTTGATCCCTTTATAGAAATACTAATATTTCAACGTTCCGTATGGTATTTTATAAATAATATCATAGGCAAATCTTACATTCGAAATGAAATGTTGAAAATCAGTAAAATATGCACAGTGAATGAAAAAGCAAGCAAAAAGAAGAAACCGATTACGCTTTTCGCTTTTCGTATCAATTTTTTTGACATTGAGAAATGCCAAGTCGTAAATTGCGGACATTTTCATTTTTAGATTCTTTGCTGGTTTTTGCTCCTACCCTAATTACATTTAACTGGCAAAATTTGCAAATGCAACAAATTTCCTTTTTAAATAATCACTGAGTTCTTAAACAAAAATGCATACCCAAATATTATATCACTTCAAAGTTTCCGGAAACATTTTTGACAAATTTCTTCGACCTTCTAACATTTTACAAGAGGAAATAATAGGCTGATCAGTTTACAATGATTAGCTATTTCAAGGAAGGAAATGTTCCTCTGTGCGCTTTTGGATACATACTGGCAAATGGTATCACATTTTCAAGTTCTTAATCAGTCCTAAAAGAATTGTTCATTAAATGAACACTTTAAACCCACTGATTAGTCTTTTATAGTTTGTATCAAAAGTGTAATGTAAAGGTAAATTTAACAGCAGAAATCTTTCTTGCAGACCTTTACACACGATAAAGTTCAAGATGTTTACTAAAACTTCCTTATCAGTCTTATATTATCGTTTTTCGAATGCCGTTTTTCGAATAGTGTACGGTGGTCTGTAAATGTTCTGCATCTCAGGTATTTGAGATGCAAATTTTATTACATAGAGTGTAATAGCATTATAAAATACGGGTATATCTAAGCTCCAAATGTAAAAACACGATAGCGAGACTATTTATTACCATAACTATCCTTAAATTTACGATAAGATACAGTATAAACCCAAAAATTACATAAAAATGTGAGTTTAATCTGTACGGTAAAGCCTAAACGTGTAGGCTATGAAAGTATCAAACCATGAAATATTATAATTGCCATAAATAAATCATGAAATATCTCAATTAATACTGCTAATAAGTTATGAGAAATTAAAGAGGTTCGTGACCTGTGAAAACCAGATCTACGTAATCATTCAAAATTTTTTCATCTTATGTTGAAGTGATAACCATGATCTGATAACCCACTCATAATTCTATTAAGAAGTGTTTAAGGGCAAAGAATGCTTTGGCTAAGATTAAATTGTTGTAGAATTATGATAAATGAAACATTTTAGTGATTTTATCGTTGCTAATAGTGAATAATGCCTCAATGATGTTATAATAGGAAATTCGAAGGAAAGATATGAGTGCATCAAAGTGGATTTAGCTTCTAGAATAAGTAATCTGTTAGTTCAGCAAAAATACAATCCAAGTAGGAGAAGCAAATACAATATGCAGAAATCAATATGCAACCACAAGGACTTTTATTTTTCCGGAATCTTTCAATAAAAGTCATTTGCGAAGAAATTAAATATTTGTTATAAGTTTGATTTACCATATAAATGAAAGATATGATCACTCATTACTGATTATGGACAAGCATTGATAAATTCGTAATAATTACACGTTTTTTTTTCCGTTAATTTCAAGTCAACTCATTACTCATTCTGCTTGCCAAGCATAGGAAGAAGTTAGCCTTGTTTTTGACTTATTTTATTAACTTTATTCATTTATCTGTAACTGCCTTTGCATTTTAGACGGTTACATGTTCTGATTCACGTTTCAGTCGTACTTCTGCTAATAATTTAATGGACTAATTAGTATCGCTTGTGAAGAGCTGAAAGACCCCAGAAACTCTGAAGTTTAGTCATATTTCGAAAAGGACTATGTGAGAGAAAACCTTTTCTAAGTCTCGGGAAAGCTCTATAAAGATTTAGAGAATTTGGTTTTAGAGATGATCGTCCTGTCAATAATCGAGAACCCAAAAATTATCCCAGTTCAGGCGACAACTTCCTTACTAGGTACTTATCTTAATCAACGGGAGTACCACATGCGCGGGATATTCGTTTGAAGCTCGCACTTTGCATTGATGCGGATTTGTCGTGCGCACTTTGACCCTCCTCTTCCGCTATCAGACGACGTGTTTCGGACTTTAGATAAGCTTCATCACCTTTCGGTAGTTGCAATGATGGGCTAAATATTCGGTAAAAAACTTACACCTTTCAAAAAAATGGAAATAAAATTTTTTCGCCGAAACATATTCAATAATTTGATCGATAATTTTCTATTCCCTCCCGTGGAAGTAACGAATTTACGCCTAAAAAAATTTACGCCTACTTTCAAGTTGCATTTTTTTTCGTTTATAAATAAAATTTACTCAGTGCCAAAAAGTCCGCCAGTTTGTTGGATATATTGTTCAGCGGCAGCATGTGGAGAATAAAGATTCATTGGAGAGTTGTATTGTAGATGACGTACTGTTGCATGTGGTGACAGTTGACGCTCTGAACGCGGTGAATGTTGAAAGGGTACTCGCGCTGCAAAAGGCGTAAATTCAGTGGTATTTGCTAGGATACGTGTAAATGTGAAACAACATAAGAACTATATTAAATAACGCTCTCGAAATACGGTACTTAAAATGGATGACACCTAACATGTATTTTAATTTCTCCAAACAGTCAGTGTCTGCAGAAACATAAAGATACCATCTGAAGTCTTACGTCCGTGTTTTCCGTGTCGGATTCTTCAACGTGGCAACAATTATAACATTTCGCGTGGTTTCTAATTCACATAATAGCTTTAATCATAATACTTCACAAACAAAATCATGCTACTCTTTTACTGTTAGCATAATTCACTCCATCATATATGTTTGCTTGCTACGTTATTTAAAGTGAAAGACAATAAAAAAGACTTACACCCACTGTCTTGCCATGCTGGTTTTGTGGATGCATTTCTTGCTGGACGATGTCCACCACCAGAACCAGAAGGATGTCCGACATTACTGTAGGCGTTGCTCGTATCAACATGAACTAAGCCATAAATTTTGTTTTTCGGACCAGTCTGATTACTGGTTGATGTTGTTAGTGGTGCAGATGATGGAGCTGAGGTCCCGAGCGCTATGGGTACGTTACGTGACATACCCGATATTGGTTTACCGTCAGAACCATATCCACTTATATTACGTGATTCTGCTCTACAATTGCAATTTTTCAGTTCACTGATAAGACAAAAAAATGCTTACTTAAATCAATAAAGATTCATATCGTCATCAATCCACTGATAAGTAATATCACGGTAATCAAGTCATGTTGATTGGTACCTGTAGCTATTGGTACTGTAACTGTCCTGGAAACGTTTGCTTTGAACGTACGGAGATTCGCTACGTTTCGTTACATTCGTAACGTTCGTAAATGGTGAAACTGGCTGATAGTTAAGATTGACTGGGCGATTCAAAGAACTTCCCTGCATTTTTCTTCTTTTTGGAAATTTTATTGAAACAAATATTTTATGCTTAAAAATGAAAATTGTTTACAATAAGATTAAGAAAGACAGAAACCGGAATTTATAAACATCCGCGATTGATTCTGCAATTTTCTTGAACTGACGTAGAAGTGAAGCTTCCGGTGTCTTCCAGAAAGAGGGAAAAAGAGATTTGACTAATCTCATAAGATATTTCCATTGCTCTGTACCCTTGAACTTTGTGAAAGTAATAACCTCATGTTTACTGTATGAAGATGTGCGGTATTTGGGTGATTCATCCGTGATCGGTACTTCATAATTCGTTGTTGAATGCGATATATCTTTTCGTTCACTCTAAAAACTATCTGTTTTTTTTTTTTTGATGTTTCAAATTTTGAGCTAAATTTTTGGTGGTTAAATTTTTCACCTTGTAGTAATTATAATTAACAGTCTGAGGCTTGATATGATCCACCGTTATCTGGTTATTTTTCTCAGTGAGTTGCCATGGTAAACATGAATGTTCTGTTACCTGCCTGGAATTGGAAATGATTAGTTGTGAGTGCTTTTAGAGAACAGCTTTTGAAACAATAAAAGAGTATTTTGTCTCGAACTGTTAGGCGCTTTTCGTTCGTCAACTGAGTTTGTTTTCTCAATCTCTAGCAAATCAACCAAAGTCTATTAAAATTTCATAACATATAAAGGTAATGCAGGTCATTAACTTCTTGTTATCTCCAAAGCCTATTTTGACGATCGGTCAAAACTTCAAGCAACTTTCATACTAGAAAGATTATTGCAATTATAGTGATGACAGAATCGGCAGAAACAAGTGAAAACAAGTTTACTTTGTCGTCATGTCTATTTACTGTTACTATCGGATCTCCAAAAGAGTTTACATTTTTTTAAGGACAAAAAACTTGATTGGAAAAAGAGAAACCTCTGCAAAAGCATGTAAATTTCGAGCGAAACTCTGTCGACAATATTTGTAGCCTCCTGAAGTGACATTCCTTTTGTGGTACGGCCGGAAAATTCGGTGACCGTATCGCCTATTTGTAATCCAGCTTTATCGGCCAGACTTTCTTTTTGAATCTGAAACATATGGTCATATTTATCAAGAGTAACTATTAGCTTTCCGATTCAGCAAAGAAAACTCATAAGTTATTAATGACTGTTAACATATAATAGCACATATGTTTCCGTCAATGTTTCTGTCAACAGCAAAAAGTCTCTGTATTCCTAATTGATAATACATGACAGTGAAACGTGAATCTTTTTTCATCACTTTTAATATTTTGGGACAATTTGGAATTAAATTAATTGGTAATTGCCTTCGATTAAAGGAAAGCATAACTGAGATTAGTTGAGATCTTCCAAATATATTTTGTTCTTGTTACGAACTTTGGATTCCTCCATCCTCCTTCTCTCTCTTATTTTTTTCCAACTTTCTTTTAAGCAATCTTTTTCTTTCCTGATTTGAATTTTGATCTTGAAAGAGCAAAGGAGTATTTGTTACGATTCTATCATTACTAACGATATTGACCAGTGGTTAATGTCCCAGTGACAGTAGTAGGATAAAGGATGTTGTTTCTCAACAAACAATGGATCCACTGAATAGGACTGGGAAAGTTCAGCAACAAAGTTCAACAACAAAATGCGATCTACAAGTACGATAAAAGTTACTGTAACAAT